CTGGAATTACAGGCGTGCACCACCATGCCCAGCTAATTTTTTGTATTTTAGTAGAGACGGGGTTTCACCATGTTGGTTAGCCAGGCTGGTCTTGAACTCCTGATCTGAAGTGATTCACCTGCCTTGGCCTCCCAAAGTGCTGGGATTATAGGCATGAGCCACCACGCCTGGCCTGTATATGTAAGTTTTAAGAACATGTATTAATCTCATTTAGTTGTACATAAACTATGTCTTAGAAGGACACTGTAAAAAATCTTTCGGCAGCTCTAAAAATGGATTAAGGTAATGACTAAAAACATTTATTGATTTTTCATCTTTATAAAATGTTCGCATCAAAGAAAAATAATATGGAATAAATAATATCTAGTGATTTCCCTGATGTCACAATATGCCACTGCTTCTTTACAGAGACAGACTCTCTGCTAGTGACATGCTCCAAGTCCGAAAAGTTATGGAACATGTTTATGAAAAAATTATCAACTTGGATAATGAGTCTCAAACCACTAGCTCTTCTAATAATGAAAAACCAGGAGAACAGGAAAAAGAAGAGGATATTGCTGTGTTGGCAGAGGAGAAAATTGAACTTTTGTGCCAGGACCAGGTAAGTGGACTTGAGGACTGCAGCCCCAATTTTTCCAGTGCTGGTGCTTATCAAGAGTTACATGCCTTTGGGCGGGGGGCTTCTACTTTTAGAGGGGCTCTAAGGAGCCCTGGGCCTCTCCCACCTAAAGCCCACCCTAAAGCTCCTCTTTACTGCTGGGGAGATTTTCAGAGAAGGGATACATAGACAAATGTGGATGTGCTGGTAGCTTTTTTTTCTGACAAGAAAAAGACACATGGTCTTCTTGATTTGCAAAGCAGCATGTGCCATGTTTATGATTTAGAGTGAAGGTGTGCGGAGAAATGGCAGAATGGTTTTTTAAATCAAGATGCACTCAAAACGTATCCTTAGACGAATGGCTGAAAGATGGCCTGGTGTTTCTGGCATAATCACAAAAGATGTACATCTCACTAAGCTCAATTTCATTCCCACATGCATGGAAGCCGTGACAGCAAGAATTGGATACCAGGCATAGGGGAGGAGTGAGCAAGCTGGATCACCTGATGAGAGTCCCTGAGTTAATGATAAAGGTTTTAGATATTAGAGACTTTGAAATTTTTAAACTTAATTTTGGCTATTCAGGTTTTGGATCCAAATATGGACCTTCGAACAGTGAAACACTTCATATGGAAGAGTGGTGGAGACCTAACCCTCCATTACCGTCAGAAGTCCACGTGAAGGCTGGGCTTATGCTCCTGGGTATTCATTTACGACCTTCCTCTATGGCCCCAAGAGTAGTCCTAGGAAGCCCACTGAGCCCCAACGGGAGCAAGACTTCTAATGGCCGATTTGGTATGGACCGAGATTATCTTTCAATTGAAGTGACTAATCGAGATGTAATATAGAAACCAGTCTCCATGTGTAGATTAAGCTGTCCCCAGGGAAGCAGAATGCAAGAGCAGAAGAACCCCAAGCAGACTATGCCTTTCGTGATGTACAGAAGACTGACAGCAGGCCAGTGCAGACTTTGCTTCCTCCTTGTTTCAAAGGACCTTATCTGTCTGTTAGCACTTGTTAGAGACACCTCGATCGGGCCACAACTGTCTTTGTTTCAACCTCAAACCCACACACTCTGTAGCTTTTCTAAAAGAGTACATTCCATTCATGCAATAGATATGAAGGCTTTTTCCAAGTTTGTCATATAAAAAAAATCAAATTGTTTTCACCATTTAAGACAGTTATTTTTAGTGGGAATTTGCTGTTGCACAATTTGAGAACCAGCCCATTTCATAATAAAAGATTAATGTTGGGCTTGTTTTTAATATTGCATCTCAGATGTGTTCTTGTAGGAAGATCTGTTGAAATTCCAGGTGCTGGATCATAGCACTTGGACTGCTGGGCCAGAGTTTGCGCAGCCCGTGCCTAGTGATGCTGCACCCTCCCATGACGTCCTGGCTTTGTGGCAACCCCAGGGAGGTGCAGCCGTTTCACTCCTTCCTCTACTGTGTCCAGTTCTATTTACACAAAGCGAGCTGAGACCACGGGTTCTTGCTCTGGATGAGCAGCATGACACCACTAAAACTTAAGACCATGGTGAAATTTCAGTTTCATTCAAATGTTACCTAAAATTTATGGTGTCAGAGTAAAGGGAGATCATAGTGAGTTAATTTGATATTCATATCCTGGAAGTATACATATTTGTTTTTCCAAAGTTTTATATGCAGGTTTTTGTTGTACCTGTATCTAGATGTTCTTTTCACTGTTCTAACAATCTAATACTTTCATAGAATCATTTGGATCTTGTATAGAATGTAACTTATTGGGGATAAACACTTCAACTTTTGGCAGAAAATACTTTGGATTCTCCCCAAGGTCATTTGTATTCAGAGTAAATCAATGGTCCACCCCCATGAAACTGTAAGACAAGCCTCCTGTATGAAGCCAGAAGCACAAGTGCCTTCAGAGGGCAGTTGATTCCAGTCCAGTTGCCTCCCTAGCTTGTGTGTGGCCTGCCTCCAGCATAGCAGGGACTAGGGAGGGAGGCAGGGAAGGTTTTTTCTTTTCCACGTCTTCACAGGTTCGGCTGGGGGCAGCTGATGGGCCTAAGTCCATACCTTACTATTTAAGATATTCTGATCGCACAACTGCAGAGACAGGGTTCCCTCACTGCTAGTCAGCTTCCTTTGGAAACTGGACAGGCCATTGCCACCTGCACTTTGAAGAAGTGAGCAAAGACGTGGCCACATTTCCAATAAGCTGAAATGGTCTTTCTCCCTTCCTCAGAGAGCAACCAGCTTTTTTTTTTAAAAGTCCTTTCTATCTGTTGGATACAACAGTGCGCTTTTGGTGCACATTTTTTAGCAATAGTTGTGAATTAACGGCAAAAACAAAACAAAACAAAAAACCAAACTTATTTACCAGCCCTCAGTTGTGTTTGCACGAGGGGCCTTTGAGCAAAGAAATGGGTTTTGCTGGGTCATTGTGCCCTGTGTGCTAAGCCTTGGGTGGCTGCATTCCCCTCCTGTCATAGATCTGAACCCCAGCATGATTGTATTTCTTTCCCCTCCAGTCAAACCGTAATACAGTTTCCAGAAAATTTGACAGTCCTGCAATGCCAAAAGGGTAAAAATCTGTATTTCACAGTTGTATAGAATAAAGGCTTTAGTTAAAATATTTCGAAATGTAGTACACATTTATTTTCTTTTCATTTGTCATTTTCTTTCATAGCAGATTACAGAGAAAGAAAGAAACCTCTGGTTTCATGTTCTCCCTGGAAATATTAGCATTGATACCCATTTTATCCTCCAACTTACGGGGGAAGGGAAAGTAAAAGTGAGGAAGGGAAGAGCCAGAACATTCGGGTGAGGGCAACTTTGGGTCAGACTGCCAGGCTACAGAGTTAAGGGAAGCTGGCCCCAGAACAGTCCTGTGGCGGTTCTGTTCTACTTCCTGCATTCCTGCAGACTTGACATTGGGCTCCCAGACGATCCAGGACACAATGCCTCACTGTTCTGCACACGTATCAGCTGCTCGGGTAGGCTTGACAAGGGTTTGCTTTAAATGAAGGGTTTGATTCAAACTTTAGGGTTTGCTGATTTGGGGCCCTCCCTCCATATAGTTGGTCTGTGCCCCCCAGAGCAGGCATTCCTTGTCCCGCAGCTGACAGAGCTTGTGAGTTCCATGCATGTACACCAGCATTACACATGATCCTGTAAAGGTGAGACTTTCAACTAGGCACAGGCTAGAAGACAAGACCAGAGGCAGCTTTCAAAATAATTAGCAGTGTGGGAGGTGAGAGTCCAGTCAACACAGCAGAGGACTTCAGGTGATGAGGGGTCGTCCCCGGATGGAGTGCAGGGCCTAACCTAGCCTTAACCTGCAAAGGCACCTGGGGTGGGGAGAACAGCTTCCTCCCCTACAACAGGAAAGAACAGAAGGGTCTTTATCTACTCTTAATCTATTCCCTTAATTCCCCCTTGGGGTTGGAAACTGTGGGTGAATAGACCTAGTCAGGTAGACTGGCTTTGAGAAATTGCTTAGGGTGTTGAACTTAAATTTGTGACTTTTATTCACTATTGAGGCTGGGTAGGTACCTTGTATATTTAGAAGAGATCACTGTTTAAGTTTGGGAGCTAACAGGAGTTGCCATTGGGGATACAGGTCTGTGGTATGTAGGCCCTGAGGAAGAAGAAATACTGTGGTCTGGGCACAAATGGGTCTCTGCTGAAGGGCCTAGAATTTCCAACCCACCTCCCTCCAGGAGAGGGGGGCAAGTACACTGCCTCTCTCCCGCTCCCGTGACTAGCATGGTGGCCAGCCTGAGCCAAGTGTGGCAGTGTAGCCTACGGACAAGGACACATGACAGAGGACTCAGTGATTGGGACTTGAAAGGGGGTGGTCCCAGGGCTTCAGGGTCCCTTCCAGTACAGATGGGGTGGGCTGAGCTGTGCAGGAAGAATCAAAGCAACCAGGCCAACCCTGGACAGCAACCCCTTCCTTCCTCACCTCATCTTCACATTGGATTATAACCAGACCCTGCTGCCTCCTGGGCAGCCCCAGTGACCAGAGCAGGACCAAGCACTGGACCTGAGGGTACACGGCCAAAAGACGTCCTCCCACAAGGCCTGTGGCCCCCTCTCACCACCCACTGAGGCCTTATGCCCCACCCAAGCAGCAAAGAATCCTTCCTCTCCTACCCCAGCTCCTATAAAACAATTTGGGGTGCTGCTCCCAGCCCTCTACTACCCCAGAAAGACTTGTTTGAAACCCCCAAAGCCAGGACTATCAGGCAGGATAAATGCTGGGAGGTTACCTCTTGGACACTAGAAGTAGAGTCTGAGTGGACACAGAAGCCCCCTGCCAGCAGAAGTCCCTGCACATCACTTGGAGCTACAGCCTAGAAAGCTGAACACATAGAGCTGGGATCAGGCACAGGGCTAGGATCAGCTTGGAGCTGACCGCACAGTGCAGCCTGGGCTGCCTGCCCACATCTGGGCCTCACGAAATGTCACCAGGGGCCTTGTCACAGCCCAGGGTGTTATTCTGCGGTAGAGATCTGGGCCTGGCTGGCTAGCCCCTCAGCCTCCGTCCCAGCATCTAGGCCCTCTGTGCTTGCTGGTTCCTCTTCAGCCTGAGCTTCAAGCAGCTCGGCAGACAGCCCATCTTCTGGTGAGGCTGCAGAGGTGAGACTGTCAGGAAGAGTCAGCTGAGGCAGGTGGTCCGCCTGGGCTTGGGCACCTGGGCTGTCCAGGAAGGGGACCTCAAACTCTGACCCAGACCATGTAGCCTCACCTGCAACACAGAAGATCAGGCTGAGGAGGCCTGCAAGAACCTAGGGCCATGGTGTTAGGGCCAGTAACCCCACTGACCACCCCCCATTGCCACTCCAGGTTTGATGGGGGATTGGAGATGGAGTATACAAATGCCTTGGTGTGACTCTGTCAACCCAATGGCCTGCTTCTGCCCAGCTGAAGAATTGAGGGCAGCCTTCCCAACAACCCGGGGTCCTTCCCAGAGGACTTCAGAAGGTGATGGCCACTCACCACCCCGCTCATGAGAACTGCTGCTGGAGCAGATGTCCTCTGGCCCTGAGGTTGAGACAGCTGTGGAGGTCAGTTCTGTGGAAGAGGGCAGGCTGGGCCACACACTGGCATTGCTGCTGTCCAAGAGGGAAATTCCTGACACGTCCAGGAAGCCTAGGGGAGGGTGGTGCAGTTCTTTGCCAGCATCAAACCCTGACTGCTGGAAAGCAACACCCTGGGCTCAACTTGCCTAGGGCATCTGGCCCAGCCTGTGAGACTGTAATCGCCTCAGACCCTGGTGATACACCTCACCCAGCCTCAAAGAGGTTCCCACACTGCCTGTTTCTGAGGAAAGAAAGGGACCTGGAGTTGGTCATTATGGGAATAGCACAGTGGCAGTGGGTCTAGACTGCTCTGTCTCCAATTTGCTGTGTGACCTGAAGAAGGCCACCTCTCTTCTCTGGACTACACACTCCCCATCTGTACACTAGATTGGATGGTATGCAACTATTAATATCTTGGTGTACATGAGATATGAGGGGTCGGCAGGGCCTGGGGAAAGTTTTGACATTCCTGCCAAAGTCCAGCCCCAGGCCTGGGGCCCACTCCTCTCCAGGGTCTGCCCACTACCTGGGTCCATGACTCGCTGCACTGGAGGTGGGGGCTGAAGAGGAGTCTCCATGAAATGGGGAAGTCCATCAGGGTCTGGAGCACTCTGGCTGGGACTCCCAGGCCCAGGAAGGGGATCCTCCATGGAGGAGCCAGGTGCCTGCAGCAGGGCCTAGGGAAGAAGAAGAAATGGGTAGGGGACAATCAGGACAGTGCCTCAAGGTGAAGAATTTTGCAGTCCAATCTTGTCCCAGGAGCACTGCTCTGCCTGAAGGAAGGAAATGGCCTTAGTAAGCCACCCCTTCTTATATTGGTGATAGGAAGTCAGGCCTGAGGGGCCTGTCCTGGCCTCCCCTGCAGTGTTGGCACTGAGAGGGAGCACTCTTTCCACTCAGATGAGGAATCCCAGGTGCCCACCTGGCCCCGACACATTCCCTTTGCCCCATCAATGACTCACAAGAAGACAGGGCCTTCCTTGAATTCAGGCGTACCTGGAGAACATCCTTGAATATTCCCTGGCCCAGACCCCAGGCACCAGCCCAGTGCCCAAAGGTGCTCTCAGAGGACCCACTCATCAGCTGTGAAGGCAGGGCCAGCACTTCCCTGCAGACTTGGCCAGACAACCATCCCAACTGTGGCTCTGGAGGCCTAGCCCTTTGTCCAGTTTTGCCACAACTCACAGGCACAGCAAGCACCCATCTCTGAGCCTCAGTTTCCCGCTCATGAAATGAAGATGACAACTTGGGCTTCACCTCCACCCTCACTTCTAGACCCAAGGGGCAAGAAAGCCAAAAGTGAGTTTCACTGCTCCAGGCATAGCTTGCCTGCTCCCACTGGGTCCCAGAAGTAGATGGGCCTCTCAGATCACAAAGGCCGCACAGGCCCCTGAGGGTTGCTGATGGCTCCCCAAGGGCAGCCTCTAGAGTCTTCTCTCTTCCCAGTTGATGGATTCTCCCCACATACCTCCATGTAGTCACTCTGCCTGGAACCTGTCTCCAGGGAAGGAGAGTCCTCAAGGGTGGGTCCAGGTGGTAGGGCATCATGCAGTGGGGCATCAGGTGGTGGAGCACAAGGTGGTGGGGTGCCAGGTGGCTTCTTGTGGTAGCTGGGGGGCTGAGTTGGGATCCGGTGTAGATACCCGTAGCCAATGCCACATCCCAGACTGCCGAAGGCCAGAAACATTCAATTCAGGGGCTTGTCCCATGGCCCTCCCTACCTTTGCTATCCCCACCTACTACCAGCAATAAGGGGACTGAAAAGGGCACTTCTGAAACACTGGTCAGCCTCAGGATCCCTGGGACAAGGGCCCAACCCTCCTCCATCTCCACCATAGAACTCTGAGGTCCATGCCCACTGGTCACGCCCCACCCATCTGGCCCTGCAGCCCTCCAACCCCATGAAGTACCTGCCCTCTCCACCCCAGGCTGCATTGGGAGTTACAGTCACCTCCCGGCAGGAGTCTGACTCGGAGTTATACACCATCAGCTTCAAGGGCTTCCCCTCATGAGACTCGATGAGCGTAAAGAAGTCCTCTGACTGTGAGAAACGCATAGCACCTGAGGCCTGCTTCCAGGGCTAAAGCCTCAACAAAACCAGACACTTCTCATGGACAGCACCCTTCTCTTCACACCACATCCAGAGGGTCTAGGGAGGGGCAAGCTACAGGTTCCTCACCTCCTGGAGGATCTGGTCCGAACCAACCACATAGTCTGTGTAGGGGCGCAGACCGGCAAGGGCAGCAGGTGAAGATGGTTCCACATCCTGGGGAAAGAACCGCAAGCCACTGGCCATGCTACTAGAGGTGTGGTTGGGGGATGGGAAAGGGCAGGGGGAACTGCCTTTTCAGGTAGTGAGTGGGACACTTGTCCTCTGTCCCTAAGCAGGGCTTCAAGCCCATACTCCCTCTTTTCACCCCTCCATTCCCCTACCTCCCCCAGGTCTACAGCCTGTCCAGCAGAGGGCAATACCATGGTAAGGCTCAGCACCAGGCTCTGGAAGCTGACCCTGGGCTCAACTTCTGGCTCCAGATGCCCAGCTATATGACTGAAAACACATTATTGAACCTCTCCTAGCCTCAGTTTCCCCACAATTAAAAGCAAGATACACAGTATCTAACGATAGGGTTACTGAGAAAAATAAAGACATATATGAAAAGAAGAAAAGCACACCTTGGCTACAGGAGGTACCCCACTACATTGCTGCTTCTGCTGCAAGCATGTGCCTAAAGACCCCTAGGGGTTGGAGGTGAGGACAGTGAGCAAAACTGGGTACAAATAAGGATTCCTTTCTCCCTTGGAAAGTTTCACCACTCCCAATCTCCCTGGGAAATGCAAAGGAATTTGCATCATCAGTCCCCTTTCCCTCATGGGCAGATTAAAGAAGGCTGCAAGAAGGCCAGGCTCTCCCAAGAAGTCAGTGAGAAAAATAAGTGGCTAGAAAACAAACCAGCCAACTTCTAGTTCAGAGCACCCTCCTTCCACCAGGCTACAGGACTGAGCATTCAAGAACTTAGATACCATCAATGAGCACAGGTTTTGGGTGTGCACGTGTGTCTGTGGACAGACTAACATCTACGACAGCTTGGTCACTGAGGTTCGTTAAGATATCGATTAATCATATAACAATACACCAGAAAAAAACAGTATATTTACAGTCACGTTGCTTATTGACAGAGATACATTCTGAGAAATGCATTGTTAGTTGATTTCATTGTTGTGCAAACATAATACAGTGAACTTAACTTACACATAGCCTATTACACACTTAGAGTATATGGTGTGGCCTATTGCTCCTAGGCTACAAACCTGCACAGCATGTTATTGTTCTGAGTACTGTAGACAACTGTAACACAAGTATCTGTGTGGCTAAACATTCAGGCATAGAACAGGTACAGTAAAAAATATGGTATTATAATCTTATGGAATCAATATTTTATATGCAGTCCGTAGTTGACTGAAATGTTGTCATGCAACACATGGCTCTGTGTGTGCGCGCGCGCACACACACACACACACACACAGAGGGACACAAAATAATAAAAGCAGCAGCATTCCATCAGTCCAACCACCATGCCAGTAGATGGTATTTCTGCCTTTCAAATTAAGTAACCTAGGTATAGAAGGTAAGAAAGTGCTCAGAGTCATGGCTAACGGGAAGCAAGGTACACTGTTCAGGTAGTAATGAGCTGCCCTCTCTGGGACACTGGAATGAGACCACATCCTGCCCTCTGTCTTCCCTGACCACGGCTCCAAGGCTCCCACCCCACTCCTGCATGTCCCACCCTCACACCCCGCCCACATCCAGACCTGCCCCAGTGAACTCATCCTTCCGACACACCCTGCCCTACCATACCCCACACTCACCAGCACATGCCACACCTGCTCACTGGCCCTGCGGAAGCTGCAGAAGCGCACGCTGGCACCCAGTAGGCCCTGGCCGCCCCACATGTTGCTGGGCACCACCTCCACCTCGCGCACCCTCATGGTCTTCATATTGAACACCTCCAGCTTCACGGGCTTCTCCACATTGGCTTTCAGTAGTGCCTTCAGTGTGTCATTCTCCTTGTTCTGTGGGGGCAGTGGGGCTGACTCCAAGGCCACCCCATGCCCAGGCTAGGACCCTCAGATAAGTCTGGGCCTGAGATGGGGCAAGGGCCTTAGTGGGCAGCAGCCCCCAGCAGGGTCACTGTGGGGATGGGCCAAGGTAGTGGATGGGCCAGGTTCACAGACCAGGGTTAAGCCTGTAGCCACTGGGACCCCTACCTCCCCCAAGCACTGCCAAACCTTCCTCAGCCTGCCAGAAAAAGCAAGCAAAAAGCCTCTGGGATCCACAGCATTCCAGTGCTGCCCCACTCTGAGCTGGCCCTTGGCCAGGGCCCTCATATCCCTCACGCCCAGGAGGCAGGCCCCTTGGGCCTGTGGCCACCTCCAAGAGGCCATCTGTCCTCTGTCCACCCCAGAGAGCTCAGAAGCTGAGCACTGGGCAGGGCCCCAGTCAGGCTCTAAGTACAACCCTGGCAGAAGGGGAGACAGGGCTGGGACTCCCTTTAGAAAAAAAGGGAGGGAAGGGTAGACTGGGGCCTGTGGGACAGATGGAGACACACAAACACACACAAGCAAGCAAAGCAGAGACAGGGTTGGGGAACCTCACCAGCCTCGAGTGCCCAATGGTGATGATGAAGTCAAAATAGGGCTCCAGGCCCGCCTGCTGGGCTGGGGAGTTCTCCTGCACCTGTCCCACAGCAAAGGCCACAGTCACTGTGCCAACCCTGGGACTCTCCAAGTAGCCCTCTCCCCCATTTCAGGAACCATCAGCACTCCCGGTGTGCCAGCCAGAACACATGCCTGGCGTGAACTGTTCTGGGCATTCTCAAGGTTCACTCCATGGTCTCTTGCTACCTTCCTGAGCAAAAATTTTCCTCTTAGGAAAATGGCTCCTTCCTGATTATGATCCACAGATGCTTTCAGAAATGGCTTATAGCCCAGGACATCGTTAGGGGCTCCCAGGAGGCAGTATGGAGACAGGCTGGCCCAGGCCTGTGGGAATGCTGCTCTAGAGAGCTGGGCTAGGGTTGGCTGGAAAGCCAAAAGGATTTACCAGAAAGGTTTAGACTGGACAAGAAGGGAGGGCCCTGACGTGCAGTGGAGGTGGGCAGGCCTCAGGAGGGATATACCCAGGGCTGTGCCGAGAAAGAGGAGTGGGAAAGGCAGCTTGCAGCCAGATCCCAGGGGTCCCCAGCCTCTGGGGTGGGAGACCCAGGCTCAGTCCAGCAGGTAATGAAAGCCACTGGCAGAGGAGCAGACCCCAGGGGTAGACCTGGGCCTGAGCCAGGGAGCCCAGTGAGTGGGCAGTGCCAATCTCCACACCCTGGCTCTGGACTGAGGAGCCTCCCACTGGCTCAGCTACCCTACCAGCCTCATAGTGTAGCCTCCATGCCTGTGCAGGACACCTCCTCCAGGAAGCATTCCCAGTCCCAGGGTGCTCCCTGCCCCTCCCTGAACTCCCCAGCTCACTGCTGCTGTCTCCAAAAGCACAACCACCAGGCCTTGCAGGCTGCAGCAGAAATCCATCCCAAAAGCCCCATTTACAGAGCCTGGCTTAAACAATGCAGGCTTTGTCCCAAGGCCCTAGACCCGAAGATGGACCCACAAACACACCCTCTGGCCTTTGGCTATAGGCATTTGATGACCTGTTGGTGTAGACACCAGCCAGACCCAGCTCAGAGGGCACAGGACTTAGGCTCTTGCTGCCTCCTCATGGGAAAGGCCCTATGGCTCCTGCTGTACACCAGCCCCTCCAGTTTTGGATTCCCCAACCTGAAGGACAGCTCATGAAGACTAGGCTAAGAACAAATCGCTGAGATTAAGGCCAGTTTGCCCCTGAAATTAGGACTCCCTTCTGGCAGCATCACCAACTGGGCCCCTCCTTATCACCTCCAGAAGCTGCCATGGCTTCCAAAGGGAGTGAGTGCAGCCCAGAAATCAGATCTGGCCCTACTTGGCCTGGCCCAGTAGGCAAGCTGCTCCCAGGCCCCACTGCAGGGGAGCTCTGGGCCCTGCCCTCTAACCCTTGGAGTGAGGGGATCTTTTGAAAACCACAGGACAGTTATTCAGGAACAGCTTGGGGACAGTGCCCCTACCTGATCACGGCCACTTCCAAACCACTCCATGTCAGGTGCCTGCCTATTCCCCTCCCCACTCCCCAGTATTGCATGTCAGCTGCTCTCCATCATTAATGAGGTTCAGAGACTCAGGCCCCAGGCCTGGGCTCCTTGACCCACCCAGTACCTCCACCCACCCTCTCCTGTGGCTTTGTCCTCTGCTTGGCTACACTCCACTTTTCTCACCTGGGGCCTCGTCACCACTCACCATGGCTCCGCAGCTGAAATAATCTATGCTGCTGCCCACTGTATTGCTCCCCCTTCAGAAACCACTGCCTGCTATCCAGCTCCCTCAGGGGCTCCCATCACAGCCTGCCCCATGGCCCTTTAGTGCTGCTTTTCCTAATGCTTCCACCCTATCCTTCCCAATCAGGGAACCTAATGGAACTCACAGTGATCACAGCTTATACTTACTAAGGGCTGGTCGGCTGAGTGCCAGGGAATGGTACCACCTCACCTGCTTTATGTATCATTTAACCTTTTTAATAACCTCAAATGACAGATGAGACCAAGTACTCAGTAATTCAGCAATTTGACCCCAGGAAATCCAACCCAGAGCCCTCCCCCAACCACTGCCCTCTCCTAACAGCTGTTTCCTGGTGAATCTGCCACTACTCTAAGCTCACTGAGGGCAGCGACTTCTCCAAAGTGTTAGGCACACAGCGAGGTGCCAATATTTCTAGAATGCAGCACAGCTGTTCTTCAGTGTTGTTAAATGTAAGTAGGTCATGTCACTCCTCCACTTAAAACCTCCTGATGGTTCTACATCTCAGAATACAATCTTAAATCTTCAGGACAACAGGCAAGGTCCTACGTGGTCTGCTCTGGTCTCCTCCTCACACTGGCCACACCACCCAAGCACACCAGCATCACCTGGCATTTCCTCAAACACACAAGCACAACATACCTCGGGGACTCTGCACAAGCTGGTCCTTCTGCCTGGAATACTACTATTCCCCTAAATATCTGTATTGTCCACTCTTTACTTCCTTCAGAAGCATCTGTTCTAATGTGACTTGAGAAGAGGCCGTTCCTGACCACTCTATCAATAATAGCACCCACTCACTATTCTGTATCCCCTTAACCTGCTTTATTTTTATCACTAGTAATTACCACCTACCATGTATTTTTTTCATTTCCCTTCTTTCCCTACCAGCATTCCAAATGTCAGTTCCAGGAGAACAGGGACCATGTTTGTTCTGTTCACTGCTTTATCTCTAGAGCCTTAGAATTCTGCCTGCCAGAGTAGGAGCTCAAAACTACGTTTTTGTGATGACAGCCTCTGATCCCTGGTCCCTCTCCGATTTGTCCCTCTCCATCAGGCAGGTCCCTCCCATCTTCGAAGCTCCCATCATCGCCTTACCCCTCCTCTTGCCAATATCCTGAGTTCCTTTGCCGTTAATCAAACCTGTTGGAAGACGCTCCTGGCTGGATGCATTCCACTGTCAACACTTGCTGTTTGGTGCCTCACTGTAAGAAAGCCCATTACCAAACACAAATCCTGTCAACTCTGGGTTCTCCAAGCCAGCCCGGTTTTCACGTTAAGAAACTCCTCCTTTAGCCCTCTCATGTGGCTAGCTGGCAACAGACCTTACCTTCGAAACACACAAACCGACAAACTTGCCCGTCTCCACTCATCTCTGCATCCAGCTGCCTTTCACTAGGGAAAGGGGGGTGCAAGGACGCCTCTTCCCCGCAGCGCTCCGGGGTAAGAGACCCCCAGCCCCTCTCACCTACATTATAGCCCTTCCCTCTCCGCAAGCACAAATCTCCATCAGGCTGCGGCCCCTCTCCTCACCTTCACAGCCCACTCCGTTCTAGGAACCCCACTCCGTCTCCACTTTCCGGAAGCCTGCTCGCCCAGACTTCCTTGTAGAGGCATCTAAAGGCTGGGACCCTCCCCAGCTGCAAACGCTCTCCTCGAGGATTCTGCAGCACTCTCCTGGCCCTCCCTTCCCCACTATCCCGTGGCTGGTTTGCACCGGTCCTCTACACTCGGAAGCCCTTACGACCCTACGACTGGCGGGACGCGCGCCGACGGGCTCCCCTGCAGCTGCGTCCACTAGGTTACCCCGGCCCCCGGAACTGTCCTCGGCATGGCTGACTCTCTTCCCAGGCCCAGCACAGAGCGCGGACGCGGCAGGCGAGCGTAAATATGTGCTAAGTGCAAGAGTGCGTCCTGACTGGCAGTGGTGCATTCTTCACCCGGCAGGAGCGCCATTCCCGGCGGCCGGACCGGGAAAACGCTCCGCTTCCGGCACTGCTGTCACTTGGTGCGGGCGCTGGGCCCGACCGTGGCCGCAGAGTGGCCAGGGTCCGGCAGTCCCGCGAGGCCGCCTCTCCCAGGCGGCTCCCACCGGGCAGGGGGCACCGCCCGCCACCCACGCGAAAACACTCCGGCCGGGACCCCGCCGCAGTCGCCAGCCAGCCGGCAACCGGAGGCCCGGGCGCGGGGTTGCGAGCGCCCTGCCAAGGTCACCGGCGCCGCGGCGGCGACTCACCCCGTGCAGGTGGAAGCCCTCGGCGCCGCCCGCGGGCTGCTCAGCGCTGACGCCCAGGCCCATGGCAGCGGCTCCGCTCGGCATTCGGGTCCACTCCCGCTGCGCCTACCCAGGCCGACCCGGCGCCACTAGCACGGACTCGCTCTCTCGGCGCTCGATTCCTGCGCCTTGTGACGTGAAGCGCTTTGTTCCTCCCACTCCAGACACTGACGCTCCTAGCAACCGGCTAGCAGCTCCGTTTCCAAGGACTGTAACGCCTTCAACCGCCCGCCGTGATAGAGTGCCCACGACTCTGCCTCGGGAATCCCGCTCCGCGCCGCCCCACCAGACCCGGACTCGGAGCCGCGAGCGGCCCGAGATGAGCAGCAATGACTCCTGCCTTATGGTGCGTGGCCTGGGCGCTGTCCGACCGCTCCCTCGTGACTCCCCGCCTCTGACACAGCGACCTCGTGCCTTGCTACTCTCCTGCCACCCTTCGCAGTCCTCAGTTATATATCAGGCGGTCCTGCCCTTTCTTGCCCCATTCTTCCTGGCAAGCGCATCTTTTCCGGTGGCTTCTGCGCTCCCTGAGCCCCAAATTAGCATCCCCGGTTCTTGAGCTACCCCAAACCAGCGCATCTCATCACTATCATTATCCTTTCTTGTCATCATCCCTTCTTCCACCCAGCTCACTCTCGCCTGCGCCTCCCACCCCAGTTGATGGCATCACTATTTAATCTCCTAGCCTTAACTCATACCTCTTCCTTATACTCATCTTCTAATCCTGTCTTCAAGAACTGCCAGCTCCTCAATGTCTCCTGAGTTTTCTTTTTATCTTTTTATCTTCTAGCCCAGAACCAGCACCATCTCTCCCCCTGAGCACCTGCAACAGCCTCCTTCCCATCTGGTTTCTCTGCTCTGGCTCTCTTCAGCAGCAGTAGTCCCTGCAGCCACCACAGCACACACTCCCCACACGCAGAAGCAGCCAGAGTGGTTGTTGCAAAAATGTACCTCTGAAAACATCCCTCGCCTTAAAACCATTCTGCTTTCTGTTACCCTTAGGATGGTGTCTGGGCTCTTTCGTATGGCCCACGAGGCTGTTTACAGTCCAACTACATCTGTTCCCAACCTAGCACTCACAAACCTTAGGGGAAGTGAAACTTAACTTTAAAATCTCAGCCCCTTTGTCAAGCTATAGTTTCCATGGGCTTAAGCTTCCTTAGCTGTGAAAGATACTGAGAGGGCCGTGTACAGGATAGTGGATATGAAGCCCACAATAACTTGTAACTACAATTGGTATAATTTTTCTTATTATGTGTCCTCATTTTTCCCCCTTATTCCCTTCCTAAGACAAAGCCTGGGTTGCATTCCCCATCATAGTTGAACCAGAATCTGTTGGTAATCCCCCAAACACCTCCAAACTCTTTCCTGGAGAAACTACATGGAGCTGCTCCCAGGGCTGTTAGAGGACAGGATGAGGCCTGAATGTTTCCTCTTTCTCTTCCCTTTGCAGAACTGAGGAGGAGCAGGGGATAGGGAAGGGAGCAGGTCTCATCCCATCTGGGACAGAACAGAGACAGAGAAGGGACTGGGCTAATGCAGCTATGTCTTCCTTCATACAGGCTGGGATCATTTACTATAGCCAGGAAAAGTACTTCCACCACGTGCAGCAGACTGCAGCTGTGGGCCTGGAAAAATTCAGCAATGACCCTGTGTTGAAGTTCTTTAAAGCCTATGGAGTCCTCAAAGAAGGTAAGGACTTGGCAGTGTTGGTCTTGTGACCCCAGGCACTAGCCCGGCCCTAACATTCTGGCTCCACCTGGATGCCTCCTTGTATCCTAGTTATGGTCCCATAAAAACAGTTTCATACTCAGCGGCTGGATTCCCACGGGAATCCACAGAAGCCTACGTAATCCATATCTAGTTGACTTTTGAGACCTCAGAGCGCTCACTATCCCTGCTCTGCATCTCGGGTTCCCTCTCTGTAAAATGAGTGATTGGAGAGATAGCTGCATGATTCTTGAAGTAATTCCAGGCCTGGAAGCTGAGAACTGGTAATGCAGGCAAAGGAGGAGGAAGAGGTAGGTGTGAGGACAGGTGGGTATGGTACAGGTACGGGCAAAGGAGTGGGGCCCATGCAGGTGCAGATGCGCTGACTTTCAGAAGGTGGTCCTGGGCTGAGGACTGGCCGAATGGCCCATGGCCAGTATCTGAGGACATGGAGGGATAAATGTAATCAGTGGCTCTTGAGCACTAGCTGGGAAAGCCCTGCCTGAAGTCCTTCTTCAGAACTGACGCAGCTAATTGCAGCCTCACACATATCCCCACAAGTACTCACAGGTACACCTTTCAAGTCCAAGATTTCCAGCCCCCAACAGCCTGGACCATGTTACCAGCAACTCTTTCCCAGAGTCCCAGTCTTCAGGGAGCTTGGGTCACTGGGGACCTTTCAGACCAGTTAGTCCTCTGACTCTGGGCAAAGGCAGGTAGTGCTGAGCCGTTGGGTCAGCTACAGAGTCTCATGTGCTCTAATCCTGGAGCTTGAGAGTGTAACTATGTGGACTGTCTTTGCAGAGCACATCCAGGATGCCATCAGTGACCTGGAAAGCATCAGGCATTACCCAGACGTGTCCCTGTGCTCCACCATGGCCCTCATTTATGCTCACAAAAGATGTGAAATCATTGGTGAGTGCCACCATACTCAGCCAGGCCTGACCCACCAGGGGAAAGAAAGCGCTGCCCCAGAGATACACAGTCCCTCAAGGGCTGCCAAAGGAGGTGTGTGCCCTGGTGGCTGGGCAGATGCTGTTAACCAGTGAGAAGTGACTGCTGCTCGTCTCCCCTTGGAGGTCTGGGAGAAGACGCTATGCCTGGATCCAACTGAGTGGAAGCAGGCAGAACCCATGACAGTGGGAGGGGTCCATGCTCCAGATCCCAAGATTTGGGGAAACACCCTTCTTCTTTGCCAAGATCTTATCAGAAAAACCAAGCTAATATATATAATTCTACCCCTAATCTCCACCCCTCTAGAGTCAGGGAGAGGGTCCAAGAGTGACTACAGACTACTGTTTCCCCACTCATAATAAGTTGTGGGCCTGAGGCTAAGGATTTTGGTTTGGTCTGCCTGCTCAGCACACTGCTGGGCACAGAAAAGAGAAGATAATCTCAGAGAGCACACCTGAGTCCAGGCCAGGGCAGCCCCTGCGGCATCTCAAGGGCAGGTACTGCTGGTTTCTAGGCCTTGGACTGCACGCGGTGTGCTGCATATGTTGAAGGAGATCCACAGTGTGTGAGAGAGACCCAGAGGTAGTTCCCTGGGCTCTTGGTGGCCCCTGCAGAACTAGGCAGACTTCCGCATCCTAACTCTCCCTCTTCCTTCGCTCTTGGATTTACAGACCGAGAAGCAATTCAGGAGCTTGAGTACAGCCTAAAGGAAATACGCAAGACAGTCAGTGGGACTGCCCTGTACTATGCTGGTGTCTTCCTCTGGCTCATAGGCCACCATGACAAGGCCAAAGAGTACATTGACCGCATGCTGAAGATCTCTAGAGGCTTCAGAGAGGTATTCACCACACCATGGGGACAACAGGCGAAGAAAGCAGCACCCAAACACGTAATAGCAGGGTGGCCCTTACTCCCACAAAGGGCCCTGAAACTGGGGGAGAGCCACACCCAGGCACTGACAAAATACCGGGTCTCACAGTTGCCCCAAGTATGTTGTCTCTGGGCTTAGCAGAGGTTACTCATTGGCGTTTGTCCATAGAGTCTGATTTCTAGATAGATTTTCTATGGCTTGCACCATATTCTTAAGAAATTTTTTTTGAGACCTCACTGCAGCCTCAGCCTCCCAGGCACAAGCAATCCTCCCACCTCAGCCTCCCAAGTAGCTGGGACCATAAGTGTGTGCCAGCACATCCAGCTGGTTTTTACATTTTTTGTAGAGACTGGATCTTGCCATGTTGCCCAGGCTAGTCCAAACTTACTGGTTCTTTTGAGGACCCAGATGAGCTGGTCACACTGGGCCATTCCCTCCCTATAGTGCTCTGCTGGAACTGAATGGTGGCTCATGCAGTACAGCCCATATACTGTATATCTGCACTAATATGGAATTTGAAGCCTCAGTCTAGACCATGCCTTCTCAGCAGGGCTGATATCAATTTTCAAAGGGTGTAGACATGGTCCCTGGGGGAGAAGATGAAAAAAATCTTATTCTTTATGTATAAAATACACATATATATATATAGTACACAATACACAGATATGGTATATCTGAGGCATTAACATTTCTTGCAGGGGAAGGGATTAATTAGGAAACAGTATCTAAAGAGACTCCTTAGGACAGATAATAGAAAAAGAGAAATAGAAATATAACAGAGAAATACTGATCTAGGCCATCATGAGGCGTGCTTTAGGGCAGGGCTCTTCCAAGTCTGCTTCCCAGGCCTGGCCCTCCCCATCTGCCAGGAGAGGCTGGGTGAAGGCTAACATGGAACCAGCAAGGTCCACGAGCTCAGAATGGCTCCTGCTCACCCACTCAGAGGGCATTCCTGGGCTTCCTATGCAGAGCCAGGCCTTGTACTGGCCTAAGAAGTGGAGAGATCAAGAGTGGCCCTGAGTAGGCCCCCATGTTGGCTACTGACCCCAGTGTAAACAGGCAATGACAGGATAGGTGAGTGTGCCTCAGTAAGGGTTATAGAGAGCTGTAAGGGTACAGGGAAGGAGGTCTCCTAAGCAGGGGCCTCTGAGGCTGAGTTGTACCGAGTGGTAATGGACATCAGGTGCAGGGGTTTGGTTGGGAGTGGGAGGGGAAATGTCCAGGACATTTCCGGACAAAGCAACAATGGGAGACCTGGCCGTGAGAAAGAACCGGCTGCCCTGAGATCTGCATGGGACTGTGCCTGGCGGGGCCTCAGGGTGTTGGGTGGCAAAGGGTGGATCATGTGCAGGCTGGGTTGAAGCTGTGCGGAACCAAGGACTTCATCTTTCATCTTGTTCTCATCCAGGCCTACGTGCTCAGAGGCTGGGTGGACCTCACCTCAGACAAGCCCCACACTGTGAAGAAAGCCATTGAGTACCTGGAACAAGGAATTCAGGACACCAAAGATGTGCTGGGGCTGATGGGAAAGGTGGGCAGTGGGAAAGGGAGAGGTAGAAGTATTCCTGGCCAGGCCACTGGAACCAGAGACCCACCAGGTACCCCCAGGCCAAAACCTCAGTCTCCAGATGCCTCATCTGGTAGATGAAGAGCAGAGGCCCAGAGAGGTTCAGCAGCCAACCCAGGGTTACACAGCAGTCCAAGGTCCACTCTACTTCTCAAATTCTTCCTGGTTGATCTGAGTTTCTGTCTCATTTGCATGGGGGTCTTCTCAGGGTCGCTATCTGAAGGTCTGTCCTTCCTTGACCCTCTCAGGCTTTCTGTCTGCCTCTGTGTTAGTTTCACTCAATGCCTTTCTCCCTTCTTTTATTTTGACCTTCCCATTTCACCTCTTTCTGCCTGTTAAATTCATTTAGTGTGCCGTAAGAAAAGGGAGGTATATATTTTATATGTTCTGTATTTTCTGATCTTAAGTTTCTTTTTTCTCTTGTGAGCCTCATGGAATTAATCTTTGAGAGAAAAAATGTCCTCATATTTTCTTCTGTTTGTATATTTTTTATTATAAAAGAGTATGTACTTATTTAAGAAAACAGAAGCCTGAAAAAAGTCAACAGATGAATTAAAATGGCAGGCTTAGTCTTACCGCTCCAAGACAAGTGTTAGTATTTTAGGGCAATGTCTTCTAGTCTTCGTTCTATACTTGGGTCCAGGGTGTGTGTTAGGTTGGCTTTCTGGGTGGCAGAAAGCGATGGAGATTATTGTGAGCCAGCTTATCACAGAGCACCCTTGGGGCCAGCGTCTGTGG